ACACCAGTTCGCCGACGGCGCTCGTCAGTTGCCGGGCAAGCGTCCGCTGGCTCTCCCGGCTGCACTGCAGGGCCTGGTGTCTCCGGCTCAGCGCCACGTACAGGTTGCGATACTCGTCCTGCGAAAAAGCGGACGGGCTTAAGGGCCGCGGAAGTGTCCCTCCCTTGCCAGCACTGCAGAAAGGGAGGAGGGTGGGTGGCCCGAACCTCCGCAAGGCAGCAGAGCCCCGTGACTGGGCAGAAAACTTTTCAGTCGAGCAATAAAGTCCGCCAACCGGCACGATCTCCTCAGAGCGATTTGCACGGCCAGCAACCCACTCCTCTCGGCAAAGGAGGCAAAGGCACGGAGCTGGGCCGCTGCGGGTCCCTTCCCACCACTGACCTGGCTGAGGAGAGGATGAGTGGAAAGACCCCCGCCGGCCATGCCCGGGGGCACGCCGGGGGCCTTTGGCAGGGCCCAGCCGCCCAGCCCCAGCCTTGCCTGAGCTCCAAAGACACCTTTGCGCTGGCAGGTGCCAGGCTGGCCCACCCACCTGCCCCATTGCCACAGCAGCCTGTGCCGAAGTCCCTGGCAAGCAACACTTCCTTAGCTCCTCTACGGGAAAAGATTTAGTTCCCAGACCAGGAGGCCTGGAGGCTGGCTTTTGTTCTGCAGGTTCAGGTTCCTAGTGCTCCTGAAACAGGACGAGATTGGACGGCGGCACCTTGCCCCTGCCGAGGTCTCGAGGTCCCGTACCTCCTTGGGTTGGGAAAAGGGCGTCTGCGTGCCCACGTCTCTCTCATCCGCCGGCCCCACGTGGGCTCCAGCCGGCCGCGGTTCCTGGGTCGCCCGGATCTGGTGAGCGAGGACCTCCACGATGATGAGGGTGCTCTCCAGGCGCCTCTGCAGCTCCGTCCTCGAGAGGCTCTCCAGGTGGTCGCGGGAGCAGCTGTGCACGCAAGAGTGGCACCGGATGAGGGAGCTGCTCTGCTCCGACGCCTCAGTCTCTCCCACTGGGAAAAGGGTCGGGCCGCGGGGGCCCAAATGTAGCCCCCGCCTGGGCTTCCAGAGAAGCTCAGCCAGCCAACGCTGACCTAGCGGGCCCCGCGGGCACGGGCGGGTGGTCGTTGGACCCAAGGCCGCCTGCTTTCAGGACCAGCCGCGCTGAGCTAACCCCCCACATTCGTGACAGAACGACGAGCGGCGGGCTCTGCTCGCGGGCCACTCACGGCGACCAAGACGCGGCTGCCGCTGAGGCCAGCAAAGCCCACCTCTCTGCCCCGGCCCCAGCCCACTCTCCCGGCCCCAGTGGCAAGGCATGCCAGGGACCCCCGGGGGGCAGCTGCAAGACAGACCCCGTCCCCCAGGCCAACGTTGCGCAGTGCTTACTGCCAGAGCAGCGAGTCCGTCTCAGCGGCCCGCTCCGTGGTCGGGGGGCCCTGCCCCAGGGAGGTGTTCACCGCGGCCTCCAGGCGGTCAGGCGGGGAGGTCCAGGTCGCTGCGGGCGCCACGCAGACCGGCGTGACACAGGTGCCCCTCTCCTCGCGCAGGACGGGCGACTGCGCTGCTCGGGTCCCCGGGGGGCCCGAGGGGGATGTTTGGACCTCTGTCGCCGCCACGCAGGCGGGAAGGGGGCCGGGGACCGTGCTGCGCAGCGACGGGGCCGGCAGCTCCGCCGGCGTGGGGGACAGCCCGGGCTCCAGGAAGCTAAGAGGAGAGGTGAGGCCGATGCTGGCCAGCCAGTCCTGTGGCAGGGCGGGAGGCAGCTCCTCCGGGGCTGCGCCCACGCTCGCGGCCGGAGGGCTCGGAGGGGGCGGGGAGGTCTCGGCGGGTCCCTCAGGGCTGACGTCGCAGGCGGGGCCTGTCGCCCGGGGCAAGACGGGGGACTTCTCCTCCGCGGAGGCCTCTAGCGGAGCCGCTGGGGGGCTCGCAAGGGCCGTGCTCGCCGGCACCGGGAGGGGGGTGCTGGTGCACGCATCCTGTCTCCACGGGGTGGCCCCCTCTCCCAGGGAGGCGCTTGTGCTGGCCCCCAGGAGGCCTGGAGCGGACACCCGAACCACCACGGAGGGAGGAGTGACGCTCGTGTCCCCGTCCCGCTGCGAGGGGGGAAGGAGGCTGTGCCGGAGGGCTGTGAGGACGGGGGACCCGGGCAGCGCTTGCTCCAGCCAGGCCAGTGGGGCAGTCCAGGTGATGCCGCCGCCAGGGGTGTGTGCCCCATTGAGCTCGGGCTCGCGGGAGGAAGACGCTGCGCCCTGCAGGGAAACATGTTCGAACTTTTACCATTCCGGCCTGAAGCTCAGGTTTGTTAAAAGCAACAAACTCAACAGCCACAGTACGTGTTGCGGTTGCAAGCGCAACACCCTTTCGCTTAACCCGGTGTTGGCTGGTCAATGACCGGATAAAGGATTGATCGATTGCTTAATCCAGAGAACTGGGCCCTTCCCAGTTCGCCCAGCTGCACACCAGTGGCCGGGGCCTCGATCCCTCTGTCCTGAGGCACTAACTCCTCGTGTGAGATTCGGGGGTTGCTTCTGAGCAGGAGCACGCTGAAGGCCACCCGAGAGCTTGCCAAAGCTGCTAGCCCTCAAGAGACTGTCCTGGCCGCAGAGCGGCTTGTCTGAAGTACACCGGGCTCAAAAGTTTAATTAAAAGAGGGCAAGTGGGAACAGCCCCCCACCAACTCAAGAACTGGGGGTGGACTGGCCCAGGGCTACTGGAAGGGGAAGGCACTTGCCCGCCGGAAGGAGCACAGCGAGGGGGCCGAGCAGCCCTCCCGGGCAGCGCCGTCCGGAGGAGGCCGTGCTCCTGCCTGCCCAACGGGCCTCTCGGGCGGCCTCTCCCGGGAGAGGCAGGCAGGCCGCCCGGCCGCCCATATTTCCGCCAGCCGCGCCCGGCACTGGCGCTCCGGGCACGATCCGGGCGCTGCAGCATCCGGAGGGGCCCGGCGCCCTCCGGGACGCGACACAGCCGCGCGATGCCTGCTCAGCTGCGAAGGGGCGGGCGGCGTCCGCAGGGGTCCAGGCTGCGGCGGGGGACGCCGCCAGGGCTCGGGGGAGAAGCTGGGGAGCGCGCCCCCCCCGGGCAGCACCCCAAGGGCCCCCCGGCCCATGCTGGCTGGGGATGATGGGAGTGGTGGTCCGCCACAGCCAGCGGACAAGCACCTCGGAGAGCGCGGCGCGTGCGCGGGACTACATCTCCCATCACCGCGGCCACGGGACAGCGGGCTGGCGGCGAGGTGAAGCCCGCGCCCCCCCCCTCACGCGTCGGACTACACCTCCCATCGGCCACTCACCCGCCCGGGGCCTCCCCGCTCCGCCATGACCGGCGCGCGCCAGGCCGCAGTTTCGAATGGAACCGCCGCGTGACGTCGGCGCCGGGGGCGGGGCGAAGCGGGGCGCGCGGCCATTGGCCCGCCGCGGCGCGCGAGGCGGGCGGGGCGCGCGCGCGCGCAGGAAGGCCAGCCCCGCCCCCGCCGCGCGCCTTCGAAGGGGCAAATCCCGGAGCCGCGGCTCCCATCCGCCGCAGTCTGCATGGCCGGGGAGATGGGCTCGTGGCGGACGATGGAGCTTGTAGTCCGGAACTGGGGCGTAGAAGGCGCTTGTCCTCTCACCCGCCCCCCCAGCATGCCTGCCATTTAGCCATGCGATTGGGGCAGATGGGAACCAAAGCCCAACCGGCTGGAGGGTCCCGGGCAACGGGGGGGCAATTCTTTCAAAAAGGGCGAAAGGCCGGTAGACCCAGCGCAAGCTTTCGGGCTGGGGAAGCACCGCGCAAAAGCCGCAAAAGCCCCTGGCTCTCGGGGCTCCAGGAGGCACCCTCTGGGGCCCCCTGCAGAGGACCCCGGGGCTGCACCCCACGGCATGTCGCTGGGCCCCCACACCTGAGGACTAGCCAGGCCGCCTTGGCCTCCCCCGTTTCGGGGCCAGCAGAGCGGGCCCTGGCAAGGCGATCCGACTTCCGTGCCGCGGGAATCGGCCAGCCCTCCCTGCTTCCCGGGGCGGCTGCGGAGCCACGGCCGGGAGAGAAGCCTCTAGTCGGTCCCCCTTCTCGGCATCGGCGGCGAAGGACCCGCAACGCGGCACGCAAGCCCCGCACCCGGCGCCTCCCGGAAGCCGCCCAGCAGTCCGGCCCAACGGCCGGACTTGCACGTCGTGTGCGAGGGCCCACGTTGCCGAGCAGCCCGGACCGCGTGCCTCGTCCCCCCGAAATCTCAGGCGCACCAGCCAGGGCGTTTCTGGCCTGGCAGCCCCAGGCCCGCCCCAGAGGGGAGACTCGCCTCCCCGGCCCTCCGGAGCACAAGCGGCAACGACACAAACCGCCCCAGAGACCGAGAGATAGAAAGAGATTTATTGCTGCTTACAACGCAGAGAGAAAGACAGCACGGAAGAGGGCTGGCTGGAGAGAGACGGTGCCGATCCGGGGGGCAAGAATCCAAGCAGCTACTGGGGACGGGACGGGGGAGAGTCTGCAGGGAGGTTGGCACAGCTCAGAAAGCTGCCTGGAGCTGGAGGGGCAAGCCCACCTTGGGACACGCGCCCTCCAGGATCTTGCATAGAGAAGGATGCAAAAAACAGAAACAGACAGACAGAAAGGGGTCTCCCAGCAGGTGTCAGCCGTGGGGGTCTCACTGGGGGACGAAGCCTCCATCTTGCCTGGCTCAGCACCCGGTCATGAGCAGGGCCTCCACGCCAGGTTCGAGCAGGTGGTTTTCCACGGATCTCGAAAAGTTCTCAGCCCAGTGCGGGGGCCAAGTCGGCGCGACTGCGTCGAGTCAGGGGAAAAGGCAACCTTTTGGATCTCACAGGCCTCTTCAGCAGGCAGAAGGCCACTGCTGTTTGGGGAAACTGGCGTGTCTGGAGGCGCCCGCCAAGACGAAGCCTCGAACGAACAAGCCGAGTGCTGATTTCGTCCCCATGGCACCTCCGGTCCTGGGGAGCCCATGTGCAGAAGACGGGGGGTGTGGGAGGAGGCGAGCTCCTTGCTGGTGAGGGGGCTCCGCTGGGCTGGGGTCCCTGAGACGCAGAGAGGGCGTGTGGCCGGAAAGCTTGCCGTCTCCCTTCCTGAGAGCCGCTCACAGTGACGGTCGGGGGCTGCCCGGCGCTTCAGCCCGGGCACGGCTGGCCCACGGGGACCGTGAGGTCGCAGTCGAAGTCCGAGAAGACGGCCGCGTCCAGGGGGGTGTCTTGGGCTCGCTGCAGGCCCAGCACAAACTCCACCGGCCGCTTCCGCAGGATTTCGGCATCGAAGGTCATCCCGCGGAAGAAGGGGTGGCTGCGGAAGCGGTGGAGGTGCCGCAGGCGCCGCTGCGGATCCTGGCACAGGAGCTGGGGGGGCGGGAGAGCCAGTGGGTGGCTGTGGCAGGGCGACGGGGCCCCCACGGTGAAGGCCCTGCGTCCAAAGTGCGTGCTCTGGGGGGGCGGGAGGGGCTCCTACCTCGCTGAGGAGAAGGCGCAGGCCCAGGCTGAGGGTGGGCGGGATGGCGTAGCTGCAGCGCTTGACGCTGTCCAGCATGGCGACGTGGTCTTTCTCCGGGGCGGCGGGGAACTGCAAAGACGGGGTGGGGGAAGGCAGGGAGCCAGAAAATGCATCTCCAGCTCTGCGAAACGTGAAGACAGAGCTCTGCAACAGAAAAGCTGCCTGGCGGTTTTGGCCGTTTGCCGCAAGGACCCCACCGGGCCGGGAGCAGCGCCCAGCAGTGTTGGGAGATGAAGCAAAATGCAGAATCACTGAGGGCTTAAGCTTAGCCAGGAATCATATACCTGGGCGCTGGGAGAACCTCCACGCCGCAGCCCTGGTTCAGATGCAGCACGAAGCCTTTGCTGCCTGGTGAGCTTCTGGGGAATTTGGGGGCATTAAGTGTGCGGCAGCTTGGTATTCTGCTACTCATGAAACAGCCGTTCCACCCGCACTGCTGAAAAACTATTTTTCCTCTATCCTCCCCGCACCTTTTCCTTTTGTGCCAGGTCATTTTAGATACACAGGAAGGGACCATTCCAGAAGCGATTTTGCTGAAAAGGGAAATAAAATCCTTCGAACGAATGGAAAAATCTTAGGGAAGGCTACAAAGAGGAAGAGCGTGCATCTTTCAGTAGCCGTAACTGCTCCAAAGTCAGAGCCAGCTCAAAGCTGGGCTGCTGTGCTTTGCTCAGGGGCTGACCAGCCCTGGAGGCAGAATACTGGGGAACGGCGAGGGTCGCCACTTACCTTCCCCGTGGCCAGCGCAAACAGCAGCACCCCCATGGACCACCAATCCGCGGAGTGGGCATACGGACCGCCGCTCAGCACTTCCGGGGCTGCCGAGGAGGAGGGGGCGGAGCGTCAAATCCTCGGTTGACCCCTCTGAGCCCAGCCCATATCACCCCCCCCCACACACACCCCCTGCTGTGACTTGCCCATATACTGGAGGGTCCCACAGATGGTGTAAGCCCGGTCCCCCCAGGGCAGGTGGCGCGAGAGGCCAAAGTCGGCCAGCTTCAGGTGACCTGTGGAGGGGAGAAAACAAGGGGTCAGGCCGGTGGGCCGAGACCCTCCATGAGCCCCCATCGCGCCTCTGCGGAAGACCAGGACGAGCTGCTCCCGCGTTCTGGCAGCCGCTGCCCGCGGAGGCTGTCCGGGTACCAGGCGTACCTTGTTCGTCCAGGAGGATGTTTTCCATCTGCAAGGAAGCGGCGGACCCAGTCAGAAACAGCTCCCCGCAGAACCGGCCCCGATCCACCCAGCCTGGCGCTCTCGTGCGCTACGAGACGGACGCCCCTCGCCAAGACTCGGCTCGGGCAGGCGGGCGAGGCCAGACCCTCGCGTGGACAAAGGTCTCCCCAGGGGAGGGGCAAACGGGTTGGGACGAGAAGGCCCCGGGACCGAGTGAGAAAGCGACAGAGGCTCCCCCCGCCCCCCCGGCGTTTGTGCTGGAGGAGGATGGGCTGCCTACCTTGACATCGCGGTGCACGATGCCCAGGTTGTGCAGGTAGGCTGCGAAAAGGAAAGGGCGTTCAACTGCGGCACGAGCCCCCGCCATCGCCGGCCCGGGTGACCTCCTGCTGAAATCAGCCTTTAATTCCCCCATGAGGACTAGCGTCTTACTTCACCGCCTGCAAAAGGGCCACAGCTCCGTGGCAGAGAGCCCCTGCTTGGCGTGCGGAAGGCCCCAGGGTCCTTCCCCGGCAGCATCTCCAGGGCGGGCAGGAAAAACCTCGGCCTGAAACTGGCGGACGCAGGCTCTGGCCCGGCCGAGGCTGCTCCCCGCACTCCTCGGAGCAGCTCGGAAGGGGGCCGAAGCCACTCGAATGAGCAGGCGGCCACGGTTCGGCCCAAGCAGCCCCGCTGAGCGCCGCCGGCCCGGGGCCCGTCGGATCCCGGCGCCTGCAGAGCCCCCCGGCCCCAACGCCCAGCCTTCTTCTCGGGGCGAGGAGGCCCTGAGGGTCCCCCGGCCCCCAGCCTTCTTCCCAGGAGGCCCTGAGGAGGCCCTGAGGGTCCCCCGGCCCCCAGCCTTCTTCCCAGGAGGCCCTGAGGGTCCCCGGGCGGTCCCTCACCCAGCACCAGCACCAGCTCCGTGGCGAAGAGGCGGGTGACGGCTTCGGCCAGGCGACCCACTGCCTTCCAGAGGCTGTGCAGGTCTCCGGTGCTGCAGTAGGAACACACTGGTGTGGGGGGAGAGGGAGGGGGAGAGAGGGGCGCTGCGTCACCCCCGGAGCCGCGGCACAGCCGGCCACGCTCCACAGGGGGGGCGGCGTGGCCACCTGCCCGTGAGCCCCTGCAGGGTCGGGAGAGGGCGGCTTGGAGGGAGGGGGCGCTGACCCGCGGGCACCGGTGCGGGGGGGGGGAAGCGGGGTGCCCCGGACCCCGAGGGGGCCGGGGGGGGGGGGGCTCGGGATGGGGACAGGCACCCCCCGAACGAGCACAGTCCAGAGGCACGGGGGGCGGGCGCAGACGGGGACGGGGGTCTCTACTCTAGCAGGCCCCGCAGGGCGGACGGTCACTCACTAATGAAAAGGTGGCGCTGGCCTTGCCAGGTGTCCCCTAAGCAGTGCACGAACGGGTGGCAGACCTGCTTCTGGGGAACAGAAAGAAATGGGGCGCACGGGTCAGCGAGATCGGGGGCCGGCAGGGTTGGGGGAGACGCTCACCTAGCCCTCCCCTTCACCCTCACCTACCCCTCCGGGCCTCCTCTGCGGCGGGAAAAATGCCAGACGGTCTCCGAGAAAAGGCAACATTCCCGTGAGATATTTCTGGAGGTGCCCCCCACGCCCTCAGGCCATCCTTTGCGAGGGAGAGCATTTTAAAAGGCGCTTTTAAAAGGGGTGGGGTTGTGTGCAGTGAAAAAGGCCTCCGGGGAGCGGCGGGGGGTTCCGAAGCATCGGATGGGGAGCAGCGACGTGACCGGGACGGCCCCAAAGGGCCCCGACGCCAAAGCATCGGCCTGGCTGGGAGAAGCCCCCAGGCCACCTTCGCCCCCCCCCCGCCAGGCGTTTGCCATGAAGGACCGGGACAACCACCCTGCGAGGCCACCCGAGGGAGGCAGAGCTGCCGGGGGGCAGTCCTAGCAGCCCCCCGGGCAGCTGTGCCCCCAAAGACCCTGAACCTCCCAGGCCGTGGGGCGTTCAGACGCTCGGGAGGAGGCCGTGCACCTCGGGCGATGCGCGGGACGCACCTGTATGCTGACCTCCTCCTTGCACTGCCGCAGGCTGTCCCGGCGCAGCACCTCCACCTTCGGCACGACCTGCCGGAGAAACGGGGATGCCCGGAAGCTGCTCTGCCCACCCAGCCCCGGACGCTTGACCCGGGCCGGCGGCGGCGGCAGCTTTCCCCAGCCCCAGGCCGCAGGGGTCTTTCCTGGCCCTGCCCAGAGATGCTGCCGGGATGGGACCGGGGGCCTCGTGCGCGCTGCACCGCCGCCCCCCCCCCCAGACGGGCGCGAGGCCTCGAGGGCGGGCAGGGCGCTGGGAGAGCCGGAGGCGCTCACCTTGACCGCAAAGACCTTCTCTTGCCTGCAGTCCAGCACCTTCAGCACCGTCCCGAAGGAGCCCTTGGCCACGAAGCCCAGAATCTGTGAGGGGGACACAGCGGCTGGGCCAGCGCCAGGGGCAGGTGGGCTGGGCCCTGCCCGAGAGTGGCTCTCCTCCTCCCCACGGCACCCCACATGTTCCTCTGCCGGTGGGAGCCACGGACGCTGTGGCTGGCTTGCCCCCACACCTCCCACAGTGGCAATGAGCAAGGGTGCGGAGCAGGGGGTGCTGGGGACAAGGGAGGCAAGAAGCTGGACTCCTGGCCATCCCATCAGCGCGGCTAATGTTTTCCTTTCCCCTCCCCATCCTGTTTTCCTTGTGTGCTGCCCCTTTCAAAACTATAAGGTTGCAAGCAAGGGCAGTCTCGCTTTACTGATCCAATGCGAGCCATAGCAGAGGCTTTTTAAAGAAATACTTCCAGCAAATGAGCACCTCAGTAATTAGTCCCGTTTTAAAGTTTGCCGATCCCTACCTTAAGCTGGCGCTCTCCCACCGGGGGCCGGATGGGGAACTCGGGCAAGAAGAGAGAGATGAACTGGGGCAGGCGCCTCTCCGAGCCCTCCTTCTCCGGCAGCGGGGGCAGCTGCTCCGCCTCGGCCGCCTGCCCCAGCTTCAGGGGGGCCCTGGCCACCAAGGCCCGCTCCAGGCCCAGGAGGGTCCCGCTGATGCTGGACAGGGCGGTCTTCCAGCCCCGGAGCCACGAGGCCTCGGGCAAGACGCCGGCGCCCGGTGCCTGCAGAGAAAGCGCCGCACAGGTGAGCGTCCAGGAAGGGGGCGCATGCGAACAGAAGCAGTATCTGTTCAGACGTGCAAAAAGTCCTGCAACACCCAGCGTTCCCTTCCTGGCGGGTTTCCTTCTACGTGCACAGGACCGGTCCCCTCTGGGGAAAGCAGGGGCTCCCGAGATGGCAGAGGCTGGGAGCAGAAGGCCCGGCCCGGCGCCCTCCGGGGATCTGCCAGCCCCCGCAGCGAGGCCCTGCGAGGAGGAGGCGCGCTCACACGTGCGCCCGGGCTGCGGGAGGAGCAGGCACCGCTGCCCGGAGAGCGCCGCTCTCGGCCTGGCCTACCTCGCAGGGCTGTTGGGAAAGTAGACCGGCGAGCATGCGCAAGGCACGGACTCTTCGGGGGGGTAGGGGGCATTCCCCGAAGGGGCCGGGCAGCCCCCCCGGCGCTCACCTGGGGGTCAGCAGGGACGGAGGAGCAGCGCCCCCACGCCTGGGAACGGGTGGGAGTAGTGGCGGCTTTCACGGGAGTCCCGCTCCACGCGCGGCGAATTCCCACGCGTTCACGAGTGTAAAAAACATTAACGCTCCGCGGAACTGCGGCACCGGTCGCCCCTCTCCACCGCCCCCGGAGGCTCCGGGGCTGCGAGATGAGTGTGGGGGGCCAGCCAGGCGCAGCCCTCCTCCACGGCAGGGCACGCGGGCTCTCTGCACATGCCCAGAGGCACTGCAGCAGCTAGACTCCCCCCCGCCCCCGCCCCCGCCCCCGCCCCCGCCCCCGCGAGGGTCTTACCTTGAGCAGCTCCGGAGAGCCGTCCTCGGGCGGCGGGGGGCCGCTCCCCGCGGCGCCCATCGCCCCCGGGTCCCCGGCCGGCCCGCTACCCGCTGCGCCCCATGGCGCGCCCGCCGCCCGCTTTGCGCCCTTTGCGCCCCGCACCGCGCGGGCTGCGCGCTAAGCCGCGTTACGTAAAGGGCGCCGCGCTAATCCGGCGCCCCGCCCACCGGGGCGGCCGGGCCACGCCCCATGCAAAGCGGCGGGGCGGGGCTATGCAAACGCTTCCCCCGCCCCGCCCCGCCCCGCCCCGGGAGCTCGCGCGGCGGGCGGGGGGCCGCCCTGACGTCAACCTCAGGGCATTCCCCGCTGGAGTGCCCGGCCTGCAGCCCCGCGCGCATGCGCGGGGCCCTCGCTTGCTGGCTCGGGGGTCCCCACGCAGAGGAGCGGGTCCAGGGCGGCGGGGGCCGGCGGGGGGGGCAGACCCGGGACAGCGGCCCCCTCCTCGCGCAGGGTGGAATTCCAGGCAGCGGCCCTCGAACCCGGAGCAGCGGCAACGTGGGAGGCGGAGAACGTCCTCCGGCCAGAGCATCACTTGGGGGTCCCGGACTAGGCCTCCCCCCCCGCTTTTCTCATGGGGGCAAATGCACACGCTATGACCCGTGACACACGTGTGTGCACGCGCGCGCGAAAGTGTCCATGTCAGCCGCGGGACGTCTCCTGGCTTTGAAGGAGGCCCGGCAGGGGGCTCCCCAGACCCCTTTGGCCTCAGGACCTCCTCCCCAGCTTGGCCCAGGGACTAAACGACATCCAATGCCGGCCTGCTTCATCCCAGCGCTCCTCTCAGCCTCCGGAAGACAACTTCGACTTTTAGGATGGGGAAAGGGCTGGCGAAAGCCGGGGAATCAGCCAGTGGCGGGCGGGCGGGCAGGGGGATGCGGCAAGGCCTGCCGGGAACCCCTGGGCCATGGATGGGGTGCCAGCTGGGCTTGCCCCAGCAGCCGGAAGTTCAAGGCGCCGGCTAAAAGGGGTGCCCGGCAGCCACACGGGGCTGTCAGGAGCCTGGATGGATGCCCAGACCGGAGCGAGGAGTTCGCGGCTCGAAAGCAGGACCACGCGTGGCCCCCCAGAGCCGCTCCCGCCACCCGGTGCCCGCCCGGCCCCCGCACTCAGTAACGACGGACAACCGGCTCCAAATGATAAACTCTCTTATTTAAACTCTTTCCCTTCCCAGGTTCCCAACAAACAATGAATGCATAGAGCTGCGTGAAGCCACGGGGCGCTCCGGCGGCCACGCCAACGGCCCCCCGGCCCGGCCCGGCCTGGCGCCCATGCCCACTGCCCGCAGGGTCCGCCTGCGCCCGCGGCGGGCAGCACATGGCCCGCAGGCCTCCGGGAGAGCCGGGGGCCGCCGCAGCCGGGCCGGGGGCCGCTGAGGGCCTTGGCGCCCGAGTCCCCCTGACCCGCTTTGGTCCCTCGTGGTGCCCGCGAGTCCGTGGAGCACGTCCCTCCCTCCCGCGGCGGTTATTTGCGCCGGCCGAAGATGGACTTCTTGCTGGGGTTCTTCTCGCCCACGCTGAGGCCGATCAGGAGCCGGGCCTTCTCGTCCTCCTCCTGCTGCTGCACGTGGCCCTCCGGCTTGCTCTCCGGCTTGCCCCGCGACTCGGTGCCCGCGGCCGGCTTGAGGCGCAGCTTCTCCTTGATGACCTGTCGGGGGGCGCGAGGGGCTGTCAGGCCACCGCAAGCCCCAGCGCTGCCTCCTCGCTCGGCCTCCCAGCGCCGGGGACTCCAACTCCCAGCATCCCCAGGGGGCGGCCCCGCACATCCCGAGAGCACGAGGTTGGGAGAGGCTGCTCTCGACCCCCAGGTCCTCCGAGGCCCCTCCCCACAGCTGCAAACCTTGGGAGAAGCCCCCGGAAGCTGCCGGGCCTCCGTATTTGCCCGCAGGAGCGGCCCTGGGCTCGCAGGGGAGGGCCAGGGGCTTTGCCCCCCTGCATCAGCAGCCCCCCACACGCCCACCCTGGTGCAGGGGTGGGGGCTGCACAAGGCACCAGAAAGGGACAGAGCCCAGTCACCCTGCTGGGACTGATTAGTTGCCTCGGGCGAGCAGAGGAGGAGTGGGGAGGCGAGCACTGCAGTGGCAGGCCGGGAGCGTCACGGAGGCTCCAGATCCCTCGAGCTCAGGCCACCCCATGCAAGGGAGGGCAGGGGCCTCTCCCAAGCGCTCCTGCCTCACAGACCCCCACCAGAGACCCCCCCCCATGTTTACCTGGGCAACCAGAGCCTTGCGGCTGTCCCGTTTCACCGCCATGGCAAAGTCCAGCCAGGTCCAGGTGTTGTTGTGGTATTCCAGGCACGGCAGCACCAGGTTGAGCTCCCCCCAGTCCACGCTGTTCTTCTCCCCCTGAGGCGGAGACGCAAGGAGGCAGCCGAGGGTCAGCCCTGGCTGCGGAGCCCCCCTCCTCCCTGTCCCGCAGAACGTGGGGCCCAGAAATGGGGGGGGGGGCTTCCAGGAGAGGGCAGAAGCAGCAGGCTGGGGTCAGCCGGCAGCAGGGCTACGGAGCTCCCAGCCGCCCCAGCGGGTGGCGCTAAGCACGTCAAGGCACTAGTCCTCAGGGCCTGAGCGAGGGTTCACCAGTGGGAAGGTTCCCGAGGGCTTCCCGCTGGCCGCTCCGGAAGCAGAGTGCCGGGCGAGGCGGGCGCTGCCCCCGCCCCCCGGCCCCCCCTGACCTTGTAGCTGACACAGAGGGGCACTTGTGGGATCTTGATGTAGATGAAGGAATTGTTCATGGCCGCCCGCTCCTTCATCTTGTCGATGTCGTCCACCGGGTACTGCAGGAGAAAGCGGGCTCAGCCGCGTGCCCCGGGCCCAGGCGGCAGCCCCAGCCCCCCGGGGGGCAGGCCGGCGTGTCCGGCAGGGGACCGGGCCCCGCGGCACGTACCTCGGGCGCCTTGCGGAACGAGCGCCTGACCCCGGACGTCCGGTTCAGCCCCTGCGCCATGCCCTTGCCCGGCCCCAGCGAGTCCTCGGGCACCATCAGCTGGCGGGGCTTCACCACCGGCATCCCTGCAGGGCGGGGGCACAAAGCGATGCGACGGCTGGACTCCGGAGCTCGGGGGGCCGAGGGGCCCTCCCCGCGAGCGAGCCCAGGACAGCAGGGGGGTGGGAGGCCCCCCGCCGGGGGGCCGGCCCCACGCCCCACGCACCTGTGGTCACCAGCCTGGACTTGTCCTCCTCGTCGCCCACCTCCTCTTCCTCCACGTTGCGTCCGGGGAAGAAGAAGCCCATCATGCGGTGGAAGAACTGGTGCGTCAGCTGGATGGTGAGCGGCACCACGTTGACCTGGCGGGCGGAGAGAGGGGGCCACCGCGTCAGCCTCCCCGCCGGCCAGGACCCCCGCCGGCCGGGCCCGGGCCCACGGGCGCTCCACCCGCCCGGCTCACCTCGAAGTGCTCCTTGATGGAGATGCCGCCGACAGGCGGCCGGACCTTGCTGAAAATCCGCAGGGCGAGCTGGCGGCCGGACTGGCAGGCGCTCTGGGGGCGGAGGACCACCTGGGGGGGAGGCCGGGGGCGTGAGCGTCCCCTGCCTGCGCACAGTGGGCAGGGGGGCGCTGTGGGTCGTGCCCCCGGCAGGTTGGGGGCGCTTCTGAGCGCGGCTGGATGGAGGGAGCCGAGGCGGGCCCTGGGAGTATCTCTCCATACTTCAGCGGCTAAATTGTCCGAATTTGTGGCTTCGCTGTGTAACCGGCCTGTAGCTTCGATTTTGTTGATACCGCTACACACCATCCCAGGATAGGGAGACGCCGCAGAGCACGCCTGCGGGAGAGTGCTCGCTCGGCCAGGGGCTGCCTGAGCAGCACGGGCGCTCTGCGCGTGCTCAGAGGGGCCCCCGAAGAGCCCCGACCCACCTTGTAGACGGCGTTGGGCAGGAGGTTGTTCATGGTCACCCAGCCCAGCTCCAGGAGGTGCTCGGCCGTGTCGTCCGACTTGTTCACCTGCAAGGGGGTGGCGGTGAGCCCCACGCCGGCCATGCCCCCCGCCCGCCCCCGCCCCCCGCCGCCGGGCCGGCCGTGCCTTGCTGTACAGGAAGCGCTGCAGCTCCAGCTCGGCGATGCCCAGCTGCCCGTCCTCCTCGGTCAGCCGCCAGCGGGCCTGGGCGAAGTAGAACTCGGTGCGGCGGGCCACGCCGACGTCCTCGGGCGGCTTGCGCAGCTCCATCTTGGTGGCGCGCTGCAGCTGGAAGTCCTTGAAGCACCTGCGCGGGAGCGAGCGGTGGGGCCCGGCTCGGGGCTGGGGGCGCTCCCCCCCGCAAGAGCCGTGTCGGGCACGGCCGGGGTGCCCGGGCCCACGTGCCAGCGCCGCCGGGGCCAAGCGCCAGGGGAGGGGGCGTCCCCGCGGGGGCCCCCGGCCTACCGGATGAGGATGTTCAGCTCCTCGCTCTCCTGCTGCAGCTCCGCCTTCTCCCGGCTCAGCTGCTGCTGCAGGCGCTGGTTGTGCTCCAGGAGCCCCTCGTTGCGGCCGTCGTCCTGCAGGGCCTGGGCAGAGGCGGGCGGGCGGTCAGCGCGCGGGCGCCCCCTGCCGAGGACGCCCCCCCCCCCCGGGCCGGGCCCCCCCCCCCCGCGCCGGGCACCTTCAGCACGGAGTACATCTGCTTCTCCAGGTGCCGGATCCGGGCCACGTGCTGCCGCACGGCCTCCTGCAGGTGCAGGATGCTGCTGCGCTGCTCCTCTGGGTTGCTGGAGATCTCCAGCTGGAAGCGCACGCGCTGCTTCTTCTCGCTGTGCTCCTGCGGGCAGAGGGCGAGGCGGTTGGGCGCCGCGGGGCCGGCCGGGCCGGCTCCCCCCACGGCCGGCTCCCTGGGCCCCCCCCCCCCCCCCGCAGGCACCTTGCGCTTGGGCTCGACGTGCAGCAGCAGGTTGTTCACGATGTCCAGGATCATGGCGTACTGGGCCGGGTTGGTGGAGATCTCCAGGTCGTGGTGAATGAGGGTGAAGGTGTCCACGGCCCCTGGACGGACGGACGGACGGAGGGAGGGACAGGGGGGGACGTGACGCGGCTGGGCTCGCTCTGGAGGAGAGCTCCCGCAGGCGCCCCTCGGCCGGGGCGGATCCGTCCCGGCAGACAGGAGCAGGCGGGCTGCGCAAGGCCCCGGCCCTCAAGCCCGGCAGCCGGTCGCTGTGCCTGGCCGAGTGCCCCCCCCCCCCGCACCCGGGATCGGGCCAGAGAGGCACAGGGCCAACGACCCCCCGTGGCCTCCGTGTGGCCCGAGTCCAGGGCCCCTGCCCCAGGGAGCCTGCCGTGGCACCCCGGGCAGGGGGGAGAGGCCAGGAGGGGCCCGAAGAGACCGAGGGGGCTGCCCGGCGCGCCCGGCAGCGCAGGCCTCCCCTGGCCGGCCCCGCGCCCCCGGCCGCCCGCACCTTCCTGTTTCTTGAGCAGGTCGTCCTTGTCCGGGCTGGCGGGCAGCTCGGGCGGCTTGATCTGGGTGGCCAGCTCGGGGCTGATGTCGTGGCTGTAGCTGATGTAGAGCATGCGGCAGCTGCAGCGCGAGATGATGCGCTGCACCTGCTGGGTGGGCCGGACCTCGTGCGGCTGGTTCCAGTCTGCGGGGGGGGGACAGGTGGTCGGTGTGGGCAGCTCCGGAGGGGCCCCCCCGGGCCGGGGGGGGGATGTCACGGCTGCGGGACCGGAGCCCAGAGCCGCCCTCCCCGGAGACCTCCCCGCGAGGATCAGATCGGGGCGGGCCGGGGCACGCGGGACCCGACCCGGGGAAGCCCCCCCCCCCCCACGGCCCCCGACCTGTGGTGGTGCCGACCATGCCGCCCACGGCCTGCCCGCTCTCCATCAGCTCCTGCACCGAGTCCAGGCTGCGCTGCCGGTGCTCCTCGATATTCTTGACCTGCGGGGTCGTGGGGAGGCCGGGGTGAGCCCTGGCTAAGCGGGGTGGGCGGGACTGTTCGGGGCTGGGGGCAGGTTGCCCTCCACCCCCCCCAAGCCAGATGATCCCCCCCCCCAGCACCTTGCGCGCCAAAAAGGCCACTCTGGCCGCCCGGAGCGGCTTTTGGGGACTGCGGGGGCGTGTGTCCCGTCCAATTTGGAAATGGCTGAATACACAGATGTTGGGGGGGGATACACTGAGACTCAGGCACCCCCCCCCAGGAAGAGCCAAGGGGGGCAATGCGTGTACGGAGAGGGAGCAAAGATGTGTTCTAACAGAGCTGCTCAGATTCCAGGAGGGAAAACTGGGGGAGTTGATTTCTCTGCTTTCGATTATTTCCGGCGTTTGAGTTTTGAAACTCCCCCCTGAAAATTAGGGGCGGGCGGGAATTGGGGCGGGCCTGCCGCGGGGTCCCGTGGCCACGACCCTTGCCGTGGGGGTCCCAAGGCCTGCGGCTCTGCTCTCAGGATGATGGGAGCTGTGGGCACCCAGGACGGGCAGGGCCTGGGTGCAGAGGCACCCGGTCTGAGACCCGGGGCAGGAGAGCCGGGGGGCTGTGCCCACCCACCCACCCGCGGTCCGGCCCACCTCCAGCCACAGCTGGGCGTCCTCGGGCTCGGCGGGGCTGCTCTCGGTGGTGGCGAAGTACTGCATGCCGTCCAGCAGGCAGGTCCAGGAGGTCTTCTGCTTGAGGGTGTCCCCGTACCAGGCCGGGTGGTGCTGGCACTGCAGCAGCTGGGCCTTGGCGGCCGAGACGATCACGCAGCCCTCGGTCTCGGCCCCGCGCAGCACCATCTGCAGCAGGAGGGAGGGAGGGAGGGACGGGCAGTCGCGCCGGCGCCGGAGGTCTTCTCCCGCCCAGGCCGAGCGCGAGGCCTGCCGGGCCGCCCGCCTGCAGTGCCCATCAACCCCAGCCTCCGGGGAGGGGGGTACCTGGCAGTTGACCAGCTCGATCAGGCAGTTGCGGTTGAAGATGTCGTCGGTCTGGCAGGCGGCGATCCCGCACAGCTGCTCGCTCACGCCGGACTCCTCCTCGGTGAAGACCACGAACTTGTCTGTCTCCTCAATGAGCTTCTGCAGCATGTGGGCCCCTGGGGGGGGGGGGGAGGCGCTGACACCCCACTGGGCTCTCCCGGCAGCACGAGCGGCCCGTGTGTGCCTCGAGAGAGCCCCAGAGAAAGCCGGCCGGCGGGGAAGGGCCTGGGGAGCCCCAGGCCAGCCGCCCCATTGCCACCCAGCACGGAGGCCGGGACTCCTTCCCGGGTCCCTTGCGAGACTTCTCCTGCCCACGTCGCGCCTGAGGTCCCGCCTCTTTTACTGTGCCCGGCCCACGCGTGATCCCATAACCCACAACCCGTGGCCCAGCTGAACCCGAGGCCCCGAGACGAGTCCCCACAGCAGCAGCAGCAGCAAGGGCCCCCCCCGGCGTACGCCTGCGGGGGGAGCAGCCGCCCGCCCCCCAGCCCAGGCAGGGGCTGCCCCTCACCTCCGGAGGGGCTCCGCTCCGTCCGGCCGCCGTGGGCCGGCACGGCGGCCCGCGGGGGGGGCGTGGGGGCGGGGGGCGGCCCCCGCCTCGGCTTCTTGGCCGGCAGCTGCGGGTCGATCCGGAGCCCCTTCAGGGCCTCGGTGGACAGGTTGCGCTTCAGCACGGTGGCCTTCTTGTAGCCGTCGTAGAGGCCGAAGGCGATGTCCCGGTTGGTGGTGGTCCAGGAGGCCCGCAGGTCCACCAGGTGCAGCTGGTGCGTGTGCAGCACGTCGTCGCCGTCGCGCAGGGGCAGCTCCTGGGTGGGCCGGACGGGACGGGGCGGGACGGGGTGGTCAGGGTGGTCCGGCGCCACACACGAGCCGGGAGCAGAGGTGGCCCAGACCGCGAGATGGGGCAAGGAAAGGCAGGCCTGGTGCCGCCCCGGCAGGCCGGGGGGCGCCTCCGGCAGGGCCCCCCTCACCCCCCCAGGCTACCTCCTCGGAGGCGCAGGCGCTGTGGCGCTGGTAGCGGAGGCAGGAGAGGCTCAGCAGGTGCGTCTTCCTCACGGCGGGGGCCAGGCGGTGGCCAGCGCTCTCCTCGCCGGGAGAGGCCATGAGGTGCACGGTGACCAGGCTCAGGTCGCTCCCCATCTGCGTGACGCTCCACTCCGAGATGAGGCGGCGCATCACCGTGCCGGCTGCGGAGCAGGAGCAGGAGGCGGTCAGGGGGCCGGGGGCGCGGGGAGGGAGCCCCGCGGGGTCTGCCAGCCCGCCCCCGCTCACCCTGGGGAATGAGCCGCTGGGTGCCGCGCGTGAAGACGTGGCCCTGGGCGCACTCCAGCTGGATCCCGCGCTGCTGTGCGAAGGAAGCCCAGTAGTGCACCTGCGGAAACACGGCGGCCGGAGTGGGCTGGGGCTGGGGCGGGCGGCAGCGGCCCCCGCAGCCCCCGGGCCCGGGCCCTAGCAGGGGAGAGCCGCGCCGGGCCGGGCCCCGCAGCCTCGGGAGGCGGATGCTTCCGGGCGCCCGCCGAGGACACGCCACGTCTGCGCCCCCCGCGTCCTTCACGCCTCGCCCCACCCTCGCCTCTCCCGCGGAAGGCCCCCGGCGTCGGAGGGGAGCCCGGGGCCGCGGCAGGGGCCCTCTGTGGGGGGCGGCCGGCGGGGCCTCACCTGCAGCTTGGGGAAGAGGGCGGTGAAGGAGAGCTGCCGGTAGTGCTGGCCTAGCTTCCTCTTGGTGGGCTTCAGGTTGCCGAAGAGCTTCCCGCGGCAGATGGGGCGCGTGACACTGGTCCAGGTGGCCCAGAAGTTCTGCATCCAGCGCAGCGTGCTGCTGTAGAGCAGGATGCGGGGCTGGGAGGGCTCTGCGGGCGGACACAGCACGGGCCGTTGGCCGGGAGGCGGGCGCTTCGGGCCGGGGGCCTCTGGGTCCGAGCCGGCCAGGACCGGCCTGGTGGGAGAGGGCTCCCTGCGAGGCCGTCTCCAGGCCGCGGCACCCGGGGCAGGGCCCTTCCTTCACCGGAGCCCCCCTCCCGGGGCCTCCCCACGGGCGTGGCGAGGCACCCCACATTTTCCGGCAGGAGGGAGACCCAAGCGGCCCCGTTTCCAGCCGGCTTTTCCACACGCTCCACATCTGGAAGGCCGGTCCGTGCGCCGTCGCATCAAGGCTTCGGCACTCGCCCCACGGGGAGGCGGTGACGGTGGCGGAGCCCCCAGGGCCGGAGCCGGCCCCCAGGCGGAGCGTGGCCACAGGCACGGGGAGCCCCCCCCCCACAGAGGCCGCCCGGGGACGGGCTCCCCGCTCACCCCCACTGGGCCGCATCAGGTCCATGTGGATGGAGAGATTGAGGTTCTCGGAGCGGAAGGCCCGGTAGGAGTCGTACTGCTGCCCCTCGGGCACCTCGGGCAGGAAGTCGGGCGAGCGCAGCACCACGCCGTGGTGGTCGTGCGGGTTCCCGTGGCACAGCCACGTCAGGTCCAGCGTCATGCACAGCTGCGGCAGGTGGAGGAAGCAGCAGTCGTCGTACCTGCCGGGGACGGAACGGGACGGGACGGGGTGGGACGGGGGCGGCGCCACCGGGCCCCCGCTCGGGGGGGGGGGGCCGTGGGAGTCCGGGGCACAGCCTCCCCCCGCGGAAAGTCTGCACCCCCCCCGGGAGGTCCACTCACTTGGAGGCCGTGCGGACGTTGACGTCCAGGTCGCCCTTGAAGACGAACTGCCCGGGCCGCCAGTGGAAGGAGAGCCGGCTCCACTCCCAGTGCAGGTTCTCCGTGGTGTTGTAGGGGTCCTGCGGGACACGGCACGGGTGGGGCCGGGCCCGGGGCCGGGCCCCCCGGCACCCCCCTCCCCCCCGGGGCCCCCCGCCGCCTCACCTCCGTGGCCACCTGGTGCAGGTTGGCCTGCTCGATGTCCATGTGCCACTCGCCGTGCAGCAGCAGCCGGCTCTTGTCCCACCAGGGCAGGGGGGCGCTGGGGTCCTCCGAGGCCTTCGTCAGCAGGTCCACGGCCTGCCCCACGAGCGTCCAGGCGGGGTCCCAGCAGGGCCCCCAGACGATGGTGTACTGGAAGACCTCCGCTGCGTGTGTGTGGGGGGGGGGCGCACTTAGCACAGGGGGCCGGGGGCCGCTCAGCCCACGCCCACCCCCACTGCCTGAGCCCCGGGGCCCAAGGGCGGCCGTGGCGGATCGGCCCCGGGGGGAGCCAGCCCCCAACCGCGGAGGGTGGCCCTCCCCCCCCCCAAGAGTGCACCCCCCGCAGGACTCACAGTGGAAGTCGTGGTAGAACTTCAGGGGCGGCATATTCCTCTCCACGCACACGTCTCCCCAGGGCGCCCCCAGCTGCAGCGTCTGCCGCCGGCGGGAGCAGGCCTGGCCCCGCTGCTCGGCCCCCGCCAGCCGGCCCGACAGCCGCCAGTCCCGGATCTCGAACAGGTAGCGTGGGTAGTCCCGGATCCGCACTGCGGTGCGAAGGGGGAGACGGCGTCAGCGGGGAGGCACGTCCCCCCCCCCGGCTGGGGCCCCCCTCGGCGAGCGTCCGCGGGCCGCGGAGAGGCCCGGCGAGCCCCCCAGCGCCCCGTGAGGCTGAGCGCTCACCGAAGAAGGACTTGAGGCTGCCCTTGACCACGCGGCACCAGTGGGTGAGCAGCTCCAGGCCCTCGGGCGGGAAGGGGCTGGCGGCGTCCAGCTCCCGCAGCTGCTCCAGCGCGCGCTCGGGGCCGTGGAAGGCCTCGCTGGCCAGCGCCACCAGCTCCAGCTCGGCCACGCTCCAGGTGAGCAGGGCGGTGCGCATGGGCGTGTTGGCGTAGAGCCGGTGGGAGCGCTGGATGTAGATCTCGATGTTCTTCTTCTCCAGCGAGGCATACAGCTCCTCGATCTTGCGGGCCGGCAGCAGCTCCCCGTGCTGCTTGCGCAGCGCCGCCACCTTGGCGTCCAGCAGGTGCAGCCGCTTGGCGCTCTCCTCGCTCTCGTCCTTTAGCAGCTCGTAATTGTCGCGCAGCTTCACCTCGAAGACGTCGTCCAGGAAGACCCAGGAGAGGCGCTGCACCTTCAGCAGCAGGTCGGGCGGCAGGGCCGGGGTGGGGGGCCGCCCGCCGCCGTGCAGCCCCCGCAGCCACTTCTGCACGCCCAGCGCCTCGTCCAGCGTGGCCGAGAGGTCGTACTGGTAGGGGAACTCGGCCGCCGCGCTGGCGCAGGACAGGGCCCAGACCCGGTTGCGCAGCGTGCCCAGCGCCGGGAAGGGCCCGCGGTGCAGGAGCATCTCCTCCAGCTCCGGCACGGCCTGCAGCTCCACCTCCTTGAGGACCAGGATGCTGTGGCCGTCGAAGCCGGCCACCAGGCCCGGGCAGTAGGCGTGCAGCGAGGCGCCGTGCCGGTTGACCACCAGCCGCTCGGCCGCCAGGCTCAGGAAGCGCGTGCCCGAGACGAAGGCCGTGGCCTTGAGGGAGCTGAGCTCCAGCGCCAGGCTGAGCAGCCGCCGGGGGGAGCCCCCCTCGGGGGGGGCGGCGGCCTCCGCGGCGGGCGGCCTCTCGGGCCCCGGGCCCCCCTCGGGCAGGGGGGGGCCCTGGGGGGACAGCGCGCGGCACAGGGCCTCGTAGCAGCGCAGGGTGGCCAGCAGGTGCTGGTACAGGTACATGTGGCTTGGGGGACTCCAGAGGAGGCTCAGGCTCTCTCCGCACTGCACCTGGGGGAGAGAGAGCGGGCGTGAGCCCCCCCGGCCGGCCAGCCACCCGAGAGAGGGGCCGCTGCGCCCCAGAGCGGCTGGATGGGGCCCGAGCACGCACGGCAGGTGCGCAAGGGGGAGCCCGAGCGGAAAGGGGGTCTCTCCAAAGCGAGGAGCCGGGGGAGGGTCTGCAGCGCTGGGCCGTGGCCCGGGGGACTCGGGATCCGCTCCCGCCGGGCCTGAGGCCCGCAGTGTGGCTCCGGGCCTCCCGTGGGCTGGCCGAGTTCCCGGGACACCGTGACGCGCGAGCGGAGAGGAGGAGGGGCCCGGGAGCCCCCGCCGTACCTCCAAGGAGCGGATGCTGCTGCGGTAGGTGAGCGAGAGGGTGGAGAGCTCGGCCACGGGGCCGGGCACGGCGGGGGCCTTGCAGCAGGGCTGCATCTTCTCCGCGAGGGTCTTGACCAGGGCGAGGGCCAGCCCCTGGACGCTGGCGGTGCAGCTCTCGGCGCTGCCCAGCACGGTCAGCGTGTCCAGACGCACCTCGGCGGCCCCTGCGGCAGGAGGGGGAAGGCGGGCGGCGCTGGGGTGTGGGAGGACGCGCCTCCGGCCGGGGGAAGTGCTGCGGGCCGGGCCAGGCCGAGCCAGAGGCAGCCAAGGACCGGCCCACCCGACCGTGTCACGGGCGGGCACGACTCCCGGCGCCCCACACGTGCCCCCTGCCGAAACCCACAGCGGAGGGCCCCCCGCTGCCCCCGCTCGGGGCACAAGTCCACCTGCTCGCCCCCCGGCCCCCTCGGCAGGGCGCCCGGAGAGACGGGTGCCCCGCGGGGAAGCAGGCCTGAGGACTCACCCGCCAGGGCAGAGAGCGTGAAGAGGTTCACGTCCTCCACCTTCAGGTCCACCTTCCAGAGCACGCCCAGGTCCTCCCCGGCGGGGGCGGGGGCGGGGGCGGGGGGCTCCTCGGGGCTCCCCGGGGCCCCCGCCTCCGCGGGCCGCCACAGCAGCAGCAGCAGCACCCTGGAGAGGCACTCGGAGCAGGTGTCCGAGGCCTCCAGCTGCAGGCCCCGCAGGGTGCAGTCCAGGAAGAGGGTGTCCGCGTGGGTGCTGGAGGTGCCCAGCGGCTGGTTGTAGCTGCCCTGCGGGACGGGAGGGGGTTATCTCCGCGCCTGCGGCATTTCCGCGTCCCCCCCGGGGGGGGATCCCGGCGGGGCGTCGACAGACCGGCGAGGCCAGAGAGCCCCCCGGCCCCGCAGCTCCGGCTCCCTCCGTCGCCCCCACTTGTGGCCCGTGCGGGCAGGCCGGCTCGGGGGCACGGAGGCCGGCCGGGCAGCCCCCCTCACCTGCAGGTTGAAGGAGTCCAGGATGAGGGCCTCGCCCCAGACGTGCATGTTGGGCGGGTGGGGGGCCCGCTGGATGTGCGAGTCGGCCCCCACGCGCCAGCAGAGGTGGTCGACGGCCAGGACCGCACGCTGGTGGACGCTCTGCGGACGGAGGTGCTGGTAGTCTGTGGGGCCAGAGAGGGACGGGGAGTGAAGGCCAGGCCGCTGGGCACCTGCAGGGGCGGCCCCTCTCGTCCCTGCTTTTGACGCGTACCCCGTCTTCCGGCCCAAAGGGCGGCGTGTCGGCCAGAAACAACAACTTACAGATTAAGACGCCGTTAAAACCGAACAGAAAAACCCAATTGCGAAGAGAAAAAACCAGCATTTTAAATGTTAATTAAGCAGCATTTTAAATGTTAATACTATTGAATTTTATTTGGCCAGAGCGGCTTATTTTATTCTAATGTATATATTTTAATTGTTATTGTTTTAATTTATTGTGCATTTTATTTTATGCTGTGAGCCGCCCCGAGGCTTCGGCAAGGGGCGGCATAGAAATGTTTTAATAAACAAATAAACAAATAAAAGGCAGGGCGCAGGTGACCCCCTGAAATTCAAGCTGTTCGTACTGTCCCGTTCCTCAGAGACGGCAAAACTCCCAGGAAACCCACAACGGCAGTGCGCGCCCTCCAAAAAGAACAAGTCGGGGCCCCGCGAGGGGAAGCAGCTTCCTACCCAAAGAGACGGAGTTCACGCCCAAGGAGAACGGCGGGGTGTCTCCCAGCTGGACGGAGACGTTGATGTTGGACACGGACACGCTGAGGATGATGGTGGCAAGAATCTGGGGCATCCTGCGTGGGGCGGCAAAGGCAGAAACGGAGCACGACGCAGCCGGGCCCGGTTTATTCTACGGCAGGCGAGCGCCCGAGAGGCTTCGCAAAGCCAAAAACAGCGGCCTCCTGGCCCCGGAAGGGTCGGCGGGTGAAGAAGAACCCAAGGCCTTCAAAGATACCCCCCCCACCCCGCCAAATTATTCAGGGCAAAAGGCTCCGAAACGGGGACCGAGTCTCTGAAAGGCCCGGAGAACGCGAATTGCATTCTGTTCTGGAACGGAGCTCTCGCACGTGGCCGGCGTCGCTTCCGTGCTCCGTTCCGCGATATTGCGCCTCGGGCCCTACTGGCCTCAAGGAACGAACCGGAGGGAGAGGAGGAGACCCGCTCGCACCGACGTCGGCGGCCAGGGACCCACCTGCTGCCCGGGCTCGGGGCCGGGGCCGGCAGCCCGACGGCCTCCTGCGCCGCGGCCAGCATGGCCAGCCAGCGCGCAAACTCCTGGTGCCGGTAGTGCACGATGCAGGTGTTGAGCACGAGCGCCACCGAGACGTCGATGGCCATGACCTGGCGGGCGGGAAGGCGGGGGTCAGCGCGGCGGGGCGCGGGCCGGGCGGGGCGCGGGCCGGGGGGCGGCCGAGGCGGCTCACCTGGAAGCTGCCCTTCACCATGTTGAGGCACACGATCCGCTGGCGGCTCTGGGAGAGGAGCAGCCCGTCTGTGGGGAGCAGAGGGGGCTGGGGCTTCAGACGAGGCGGGGGGGCGGCCCGTCCCCGTCCCCGTCCCCTCCTCCGCCCGCCTTTCCTTTCCGACATTTCGGCACTGCCCGACGGCTGAAGCCCTCAGGGGTCCGGGCCTTCAGAGGGGCGTGACCCCACGCGGGGCCACCCCCGGGCAGGCCCTGCCCGCCCGCCCGCCCGCCCGCTCCCCACACCTGCCTTCCAGCACCAGCTCGACGCTCATCTGGGGCAGGTCGCAGGTGGACGTGAAGCTGCGCAGGGGCAGCTGCTCCTTGTCGCGCCGGCAGGCCAGCTGCAGCCGCTTCAGGGTCCCGGTGAGGTGCCTGCGCGGGGCAGCAGGAGGCGCTGGAGGAGCCGAGCCCCGGGGCGGGGGGCCACCCAGCCCAGCGGGACCCCAGCGCGGCGGCCCCCCCCGGCACCGCCCCGGCCCGCCCCGCCCGAGGGCCCGCTGGGAAGGCCTGGGCCGCCCCCGCCGCGCGCCCCGCCGGCCCACGCACCTCTTCTGGCTGCGCATCGACAGGACCAGGCTGGTGTTCTCCAGCACCACCTTCGCTCTGCACGGCAGGCTCCGCAGGCCGGCCAGGCCCAGCCGCGGGGGGCGCGGCTCCGGCGCTCCGGCGGGATCTGGGGGGACAGAGACCCCTTGACCCGCGGCTTCCCCCGGGCCCCCGGGCGAGGGCAGGGCGGCCTGGGGGGCGTGGCGGGCGCCGTGTGCCGCGGGCTCGCCGGCCGGGGGGACGGGGGACGGGCCCGCACCTGCCGCGCCCCCGTCACCGCCTCCGATGCGCCGGAGCAGCTCGCTCTGGAAGAGCCCCTCGTGCAGCTCGGCGTGGAGGCTCCAGACCCCGACGGCTACGCCCCACAGCTGCCCGGTGCTGGCGCCGACCTCCAGCGAGACGCTGAGCGCCAGGGAGAGCTCGGCCAGGCAGGCGTCGTCCTGTGGGCACGGGGAGGGGGGCGTCAGGGCGGCTGCGCTGCGAGGGCCTCGCGGACCCTCCCACCGGGCCGGGGAGCCGGCCTCGGCCAGGCCGGAGCCCGCCAGGACCCGTCATCCCCCAGCGCAGCAGCCCCCCGCCCTCCACTCACCTGCTGGCTGCTCTTGAGGACTTTGCTGTTCACCTGGCCGAAGGTGGCCTCACAGGTGATGCTGGAGAGAGGAGAAGGGAAGGGGCGCCGGCTGGTAGAGGGCAGGGGTCGGCCGCCCGCCGCGGGAGACCCCCGAAATGTGGCAACGCCGCCCCCTGCCCAGCCCGCCCCAGCCAGAGCGCCCGGCCTGCTTCCTGCCCACGGACGAGGAGCGGCTCCCTCGGGCTTCGAAGGGGGAGCTGCCCACCCCATGGAGACGCCAGAGGGCAACCCTGGGACCCACAACAGGCCCTCTGCGAGACCCCCCGCTCCCCCCAGGGGTTGCGGGCTGCAGCCCGCCCCAGGCCCTGCCAGGAGGGCTGGAGGGGTGGCCCCGGGGCAGGCGGGGGGCCCAGCCGAGGCGCCCCCGCGCCGGACTCACCACCGCCCGTCGCCGTCCAGCAGCAAGCGGCTCCGCGAGAGCTGCAGGTGCCACAGGGACTCCGAGGCGGCCACGTGCAGCACCATGACGTTGACCGAGTCCACGTGGGCGGAGCAGAGCTGGCAAGCACAGGGCGGGTGAGCAGGGCCCGCCGGCAGGAGGCCCGGCCCGCCCCCCGCCCCCCGCGTGGGGGCCCGTACCTGGCCGAGCAGCCGCAGCAGCGAGGGCCCGAGGGAGAGCCCCTTGCCCCCCCCGGCGTCGCCCTCCGCGGGAGCCTGGGGGGCCGGCGGGGGCGGCCGGGGCGCCGCTCGCAGGTCCACGCGCACACGGACCTCGCCGAAGCACAGTGCCAGGTAGCGCCTGCGGGGGAGAGAGCGGGAGAGGAGCCTGGGGGCTGGCCGCCGCCCCCCCCACAGGCCCGACCGCGCCACCCAGCGTCCCCGGCCAGCGGCCCCCTCCGCCCGGAAGGGGGCCCCCCACTCACGGCACATCGTGGTTCAGCAGCTTGCTGGAGAGCCGGATGCCGTCGATCTCCTGGGGACGCAAGCAGAAACCGGGGCGGCTCGTGGGCGCGGGGCGAGGCCGGGGACGCGCTCCGGCGGGGACCCCCAGCCGCGCTCCGGCCAGCCCCCCGCCCGCCTCCCCCCGGGCAGCCGGGCGAGGGCTGCACCACCCCCGTGCCCACCACGGTCTGCCGCTCCTCCTGGAACTTCAGGCTCAGGTTCTGGATCCAGAAGAAGCCCAGAGTCTGGATCTTCAGCTCCGCCTGGAGGCGCCGGCGACACCAGTTCGTGACCAGGACGTACAGCAGCCACCTGTGGGGGGGCATTCGGGTCAGAGGCCTTCCCGGAGCCCCCCCCCCGCGCCCTACATCTCCCGGGAAGGCTGGGCTGCCCCCAGAAGCGACAAGGCCTTCTTCGGGGAGGCCCCACTGCGCAGCCCCCCCCTCGCTCCTGGAGAAAAAGGTCCAATTATTCGGCCACTGGAAAATGCAAGGCGGTTTTGATTTATTTCTGTCTTTTCCAGATCCAGCCAAAGCAAATTTGAATCTGTATCTTGCGTTTGCGTAGGGTGGGTCCCTGCCCAGCACAGTGCCCTCCTTGTGGGTTGGATTGCAAGACCCATCATTCTCAGCAACATGGCCACAGGGTTTCTCCAAATTGCTCTTCCCAGACGCTGAGCTTACGTGCAGAACAACAAGTTGGGAAGGACTGGTATAAATTATTTGAAAGGTGCCGTTTTTATGTTGTACTAAAAGAAGATATTGTAAATAATTCTAAATTAAAATATAAAATAAAATACATTATAACACATCTTCTGTCATGACTCAGGACCGCTATTGCACTACCCAATTCGGCGAGCAATTCGTACTGCATTCCTTCCAGTACAGAAGGGCTGTTTTTTCTAGTTTTCTACCTCTCAGCTACCGTGAGAACTAGAAACTTGAAGAGTGCAGCTTAGAGTAACAGAGCCACGTCTCTGCGGTGCAGTTGTGGAAGCAAAGCGCCCCTGCAGCCTTGGCAACGTTGCCAAGGGTTCTCTGTTCCCACAGCCTTCAGATCCAAATCGTTCATTCCCCCCACGCACAGCACAAGAGCCGAAAGCGTTCAAGGCCAAACAGGCAGTGCTGGGCGGCACCAGAAGCAAGGATTTTATCTCCTGGAATTCGCTGCGCCGTCCCGCCTGTTTGCTTTAAAGCCCCATGTGCCACACACCCAAGCGCGGCTCTGCCAGAGCGTGTCTGAACCCGGGGGAGACCAAATCGGCCCCAGAAGGAGCTGTCAGGGGGCCACGGCCCCAAGGCGGTGGCCGGGGTCTTCCCGGCTGCAGCCCCGCCAGGGTGGCCCCGGCTCGGCGTGCTGGGGCCGGGGCCCAGGGATCTGGGGGTGCCAGCTGGCAGTGGCGGGGGGCCTCCGCAGCCGGGCCCGGGGGCTGCACAGCAGCGGGCCGCGGGGAACGAGGGGCACCCCGCACATGCTCAGAGGCGCCCTCGTCACAGGGGCAGCTGCAGGTGCCTCGCTCGGCCCGTCCCCGGGAGCCGGAGGAGCAGCGGGCAGGGGCGCCCAGGGCCGCGCTCCGGCGGGCGAGCCGCTCCCGAGGCGCGGCCCCGGGGCGGTGCGGATGATGGGCGCCCGAGTGCGGGGGCCGGGCGGGGCGGGGCGGGGCGAGGCGAGGCGGGCGGGATCGGCGGGGCCCCCGTCCCCCCCCCCGCTCACCTGCCCAGGCACAGGCCGCCCAGCAGCACCAGCAGCAGCAGCAGCAGCGCGCCCAGCGCCGGGGCCGCCATGGGGCCGGCGCGTCCCTCCAACCGCCGCGGCCGCC